TCACTGCTCACTTGGCTTCTGACTGCAGTTTTTCAGACTATAATTAGGAACAGGAGAGGGCTGTGCCTGCCTCCTGCCATTGTCTTTTGTGTGCTCTTTCACTTTCTACGTGTGCTTGGGGAGGAGGGCTGGTTGTCTTCTACTTACGACAGAGCTGGTTGACACACTGCTCGCCATTGCAGTCACTGCACGCTGCTCCCGTCTTGTATGGCTGCTCTGGGTAATTCCCACTGCGAAGGAAAGTAACACTCTTCTCAAACCGCCCTTGGCAGAAGAATGTTAATATCTACTGCTAATTAGTTTTTAACCTGGATTTTGCTTCATTTGTATTGGCAGGGGGGGGATTTTTGGAGGATCCCTGTCCGAGTGCCCTGTGCCCAAGACATGCAGTGAAGCAGAAAAGGTGAAGTTTAAAGGGGCACCCTGTTGTTTAGGAACCTGGAGACAGCAATATTGCAAACCTGGGAATTAAAATAGTCTCAAAGCTGGAAAATTTGTGCATGTGGAGACTGTGGACCCTCAAAACTGCCTCTGGCTATGGGAATAAAAGCAGGTTCAATTACTCTGTATGTATATGCATATTCAACATTGAAGACATATACCTTGGAGAATCTCTCATAGGTAGTAATTTCATCCATTTGCTGGTAAATATTTTAGGGGTGATGTGTGTTCTCTGGAGAGAACAGTTTTATTACTTTCGCACAGCAGCATCTGTGTCATTTCAAGGTGTCTGGTCAGGAGTATGTATGTTTCCAAGGATGAAGCATGGGTAATAGGAATGACAAATTTGCTTGAGTTCATAGTCTGGCCCGGTTTTGGCCCCAACATGGTACGGATGTAAAGCTTTTAAAGCTATATTTAGACTGTGGTGGCATTAATTAGCTGGAAAAGGAAAAAAGGGTAAAAACCATCCATCCTAGCTGGCTATCCTACTGACTAGCATATGAAGGACCTCTGGATAAAATGTTGCCTTGAGCAGCCGCAGCCTCATGATCAACCCTCAGCTGCCAAGACTGCAGCTGCAAGCATTGCACACTTCAATATTTATTTAAACCATTGACCTAGAGACTTAATTCTGCAGGTGCATGTGGAAATATTTTCAGACTTTGGGCTTGCACCTTGGCAATCATCTGGGGCCATCTTGGCACTCATGAGCAAGGGATTAATTTTCAAATGATCGCTTCATTATTTGCATGTCAGCGTCTTATATTTTACACCTTCTACCAGTGCCACTACATTTTGGCTACCATACATAGCCCTCATCATGCAAGAAAAAAGCTGGTTGGACAGAGGTGTACCTCTTTCTCTAAACAGAGAAATAGAGGTGTACCTCTTTCTCTAAATGGGGACCATTTCCTCCCACAAAACCCATGAATAGAGAGACTGATCTAATAAGGTTGCATGTTGTGGGAGGGACCCAAGCCCTATGAAATATTTGTAATGAAAATCCTTACGCTGGCCCATAGTTGCAGGTGAAGTGTGCTGCGTTGGTTATGGAGGAATATGCCACCGTGGGACAGAAGTGGACGGCACAGCCAACCTTGTAGCTTGTAGCCCAAACAATCTGCAAAGACAGGTACACCAGTGACAAAAGCTTTGCCCTCCTCTATTTCACAACAGCGAATTGGCTGAGGAGCAATCCTTGGGCAGCCTTCATGGGGGAAAAGAGCAGTGATGACTGTCAAAATCATAGTTCATTTTGAAAAACACCTGTTTTTTTTTTCTCAGTGCACCAGGTGTTTATTAAAATGACTCTGCAAGAATAACTGGCTGTAACAGTTTTCCTTTCCTGTAAAGGAGAAGGTGAAGTTTGTCTCCTTGGCTTCATGGCAATCCATGAGCTTTTTCTACAGCTCCTACAAGGGCTGATTGCCCCTGTACTAAATTCAGCAGGGAAGTATAGACAAGTTACTAGAAGGCACTGGTGTAATGAGAGGAACGGGGGGGAGGAATGTGTCCTGGCTGCAGTCCTGCCTTTTATCACCACAGCCATGACTAAGATAATCTAGAGGTGAAGGCATCATCCAGTGATCTTCCGTCTGCCAGAAGCCATTCAGTTTGATCCAGCATCCCAGATCTTGTCCTACCATGCACTGCAGACCACAGCCATTGCCTGTTTTTTGGCCACTGCTTGGCTACATCTGACTGCTTGATGGCTGCCCCATTTTCTTTCTGGAAGTAAAATAAACCCAGCATATTTAAAATAATAATGCAGTGACACTTTTCCTCCCCAAGATGGGGACATGTGAGCATCTTGTGGACACAGGCGTAAAATAAGACTACAGCCCTTGGAAAACAGTTCATTGAATCTTCAGCAGAAATCTGGAGTTTCTGTGTCCAAATGGCAACACTGTTTCATGGTTTAGATAGAGAAAGGCAATGCCTACCTGCGTGTAGTGGCCGCATACTCCTCTGCAGGTGTTGGTGGCATAAGTGTAGGCGCTGACCTCATTGTACCACGAGGTGATGGCTCGTTGCACAGTAAAAACAGAAAGTGAGCCAGTCCACAGGTTTTCTCCAACAGCGGTAAATCTGGGATGAGTCTGCCCTGGTTCTTTAAGATATATATTATGTTTAAACAGGCACCTCTTTGCCCAAGCTTTTGCAGTCTTTGCCAAATCTGGATCCCAACTCTGCAAAATAAAGGCAACTGAAAATAACTTTGGTATGTTAACAGTGGAATAATTCAGAGCCACTTTCAGGAAGTGCTGGGTCTCAGTAGTGTATACACCTCAGATTCATTTGTTTTTTGCTCCTGCTGAGACTTACAGAGCTACACGGTAAATTGGCTTGTGATTTGAACTTAGTTACGCATTAACCCTGAGGAAGTTTTTGGGGTGGTGAGTGATCTTGGCTGACTGCTTTGCTGGACAAGAGCTGCATGTCAGTCAGACACAGTGTTTGGGGCGCAATGTGCATTTCCACGCTGTGCTGGCCATGAGAGAACATGTAATTTAAACAGTGAATTTATAGGAAAATAGCAGACTGGAGGGTATGCCTGTTGCACCAATCAGACTGGGGTCTTGTGCAGCCTCCTGCACTAAGGCTTGCAGGTCAGTTCACAAGTACATTAGAATTTTTGGGGCACATTAAACTCAACTCCTTGGTGCAGCTTTGTGTTTGGTGCCTGCAGACGTTAGTGCTGAATTCCTATTTGTGGAATGACTCATTTGCTATTCAATACTACAGAAATTGGTTATCTAAGCAATGGGGTTATGTAAGTGTCGCCTGTTTGCACTGGAGGTGGTGTCTGGTTTTACTGGGTGCAAACAACACACCACTTGTGCACACAAACTGAAGGAACAAATACAGTGTTGTACCTTTTGGGAAATGCAGTAGCACGAGTGTATGCCTAGAGTTGTAGTTACACTTTGTGTCATGTAAATGAAGTTGTTCAGCACTGCTGAACTATTCTGGATTGGAGTTGAAGAAAAAATAATCTTCCCATCAACTATTTCTCAGTTTTGGTTTTATAACTGAGATCATTTGCTTGCTGATTTAGAGAGGGAAAATTGAGTGTAGGATAAGTGAAAAGTGATGCAAGGTAGCAATAAGTCAAAGGAGACTGCTGTGAAGCCCTAATGAAACTGGTGAGATCCTTTCTCCTGGTTTTGAAGGGTCTTGGAACAGCCCTAAGCAACACTTTGGCTGAATGGGAAGGGGTCACATTTGTCAAGGAAAAAAATGTTAGATCAAGTATTGTTATTTTATAATAAATGTATTACAAATATAAGTGGGTGAGCTTTGTTATTTGCAGTTAAAGGAGCCTCTTTCTCGTTTTTCTTTCAGAAACTGTTTTTTCAAAAGGTGAAAATGCCCTGAGTTCAAAGTCTGCGTTTTTACATATCTAGGTGGACAGATATCCACAGCAAATAAAAATTCCCTGTTAAATAAAGGCCAGCTTCTTTTGCTTATTTAAGTGTTAAAGGCCATTCAAGAATTAAGACATACGCTGTTTTCAATTCCAATTCTTTTATTTTCATAATAGATGTTATCAATCATGTATTGTACTGCTTTCTCCATCTTTCTAGAGAAGTCACACTTAAGACTAGGGCTTTTGCAGTGTTTTAAAAGAAACTTTTCATTATTTAATTCTTGTTTTATTTGTAATGATCTTTGTTTGTTTGTTCCTTAAGTAATGCTTTTCAGATTTCAGTTCTTTATTTTTTCAAAAATCAAAATTACGCACAGTTTAAAAAGATGGATACTGCTCTTCTAATACATCATAGCAAGACTTTATTAGTGAAGGGCCAGTAAAACAATTGAGAAAACAGAGTCTGAAGCAATATGTACTGCAAGTTCAGGATGTTGGGCTGAAGATAGCTGAAGTAAAATATATGTCTAGAAAGGAAACTAAATCATTTCCTGTCAGGCTTGCAACTTGAGTTTGCTCACTTATCCCTCCCCAATGGGCACTTCATTTTTAGCATATGGCAACCAGAAATGGTAAATGAGCTTCTCTGGGGGGTATCTTTGGTTAGTGTGCTACTAATTACAGACGTGATTATGTCCTCTTCTGGTGGTGACCATGCAAGACGACAAGAGGAACAAAAGGAAAGAGATCAGAATTAGGACAATTGTGATGGTGCATCTGAGATGCCTGGGGAGGTTATTCCAAGAAGAAATGTGATATCTTGAGTATTACCCAGTAAAAGCACGAAAAGTGAGGGATGTTACAAAAGACAGCTCTCAAGCTGCTGGAATTGAACATCTCACAAATCATAAACAAGCTTCTCAGCCAAAAGCCCGGCTTTGTGCACACGTTTACAGCTTCCTCCTTGCTGGGTTTTCTACATGCTACGCAGCAAGCAGACAAGTGTCATGAGCCATCTGAAAAGAGAGGTGGCCACTTTGGGTATACTTTGAATTATGACAGGTTGTCTGTTGCATGGTGCCTGCAGATATTGTCCCATGATGTGGTCAGGAAGAAGGCAGGGGGGCAGAGGGACTGCATTTGTTGCTTTTGGGCTTCCCCTGCAGTTCCAGCACCTTGGAACAGCTGCGATCTTGGCAGAGTCCATGAGAGACTTGTAAAGAAATCTTAGGGAAAGCTCTCCAACATTGTTTGGCAATGGTCTCTGCCCTTGCTGAGTCAAGTATGAAAGGCTGTGCTTAGGTCTGAACATAAATTACACCCCAGGCTCTTAAGCTTTTGTTTTTAGAGAGGAGGCTTTTCACAGCACAAAACGACAGTGTTACGCTGAGGATTGAAATCTTGGGTTTCAAATGAGGAAGTTAAGCCAGGCAAAACTATACATATACCCAATCATATAAAGCCATCTGATAATCAGAAACTTTTTCCTGCTTTAAAAAAGAAGCAGGTCTCATGACCCAAGAGGTTGACTTTTTTATTTACTTCTTTTTTTTTTCCCTGCATTTGATCACAAAAAACCATCTCTGAGAATTGCAAACATCATTACAATACTACACACTTGCATGTAAGCATGTAAGCCATGAAGATCCCCTTACCATGTAGAGCATGTTGCTTGCTGGTGGATTCACTCCAGACCGGAATCTGTTATGGGTTTGCACACATTCCTCAATAAACTTGGGATCTCCAACATCAGGCAGTTTTGGTGATTCGTAGGAGTCAGAGGAACAACTGAAGTGCAGTAAAGCCAGCACACAAGCAGAAAATCTGCTTGTCATGATTCTCAGCCTCTGGTCTTCCAGCTTTAAGAGCAGAGTGTTTTAGCTGTATGAGGTGGTTTCAGCTCCATCAGCAGCAGTTTTGCTTGAAAGGGTTGTGGGCTGGACTTATCTTAGTCATGGTAATTGAGTATGGCTTTGGTCACAGGAAACGAGTCATATTTCAGGAACGTTACTATGAGAATAAGGAAATTAACAGCAAGTTCGCATCAGAGCTGTGGCAGCTTTGTCTCTTTTTTTTTTCTTTTTTTCTTTAGGAGTGGTGGGTAAGTTTCTTCTCTCTTGTCAGTTGAGCTTCTTTGTTTTTGTTTCTTTGGCCCCCACCATCCCATTCACAACAATAACTGTGGATTGCAGTGAAGTTTTTGGATAAGTTTTCTGCTTTTAATGAAAATAACATTTCTGTTAAGGTTGTTACTCTGAGCCAAAATGCTTTGAGGAATAACTGATTTCTACTACAGTTGTACACTGAGTTTTAACCAGTTTTACTTTGGTTGTACATCAAGTTGTTGGAGGGGTAAGTTTGGCTGAGAACTGAAATTTAAATATGCTGTAATTATTGATGTGTTTCTCCTGAGATCACACATTTCTACTATGTGTTGCTATCAATTTCTCCTCCCAGGCTTTAGCAATCTGTAATTCATTCCCTGTGACTGAAGCCTGCAGCAGTTGGGTGCTATGAAGGTTGGCACTGTCTTGTGCCAGGTGCCTGAGTTTCACAGACGGGAGTTGGGAGCTGACGTTGCATGAACATTGCTCTGGGTGCCCAACACTCCCTGCTCAGATCTACGACCATCATCACCCTCTTCATCACCACTGCCCTTAACTATCACCCGTCCATCAAGCTCTGGCCCTTTCCCACAGTCCCAACCTGCATATTTCTGTAGGAATGTGGTTGTGTTTCTTCTCACTTAAGGTTTATTTTTAGGAATCTGCGTCCTTTGAAAACCTGTGTGTAGGTCTCAGTTATCACTTCTGTGCACGTGGACCTGTAGGTGTTGGGGCTGGTGGCAAGGTCACATTCAGGTTGGTGGTCTGGGGTCATGTTGCGAGCTTGCAATAGTAGCCCCACCAACACATGCTAGGTCCTGTGGATCACACACCTCCAGCTGTTCATGGGGAGATTGTTTACAGGTGAAAAGGTCCTCTGAGGGAATGGTGGATGGGAAAAGCTATGTTCACAGCTCCCATACAGACCATTTTTCAGAGGAGAATAATGTGTTGGGTTGCCCCCTGCCAGCAGTCAAGCACCCACACAGCAGCTCACTCACTCCCCCCTTTCCCAGCAGGATGGGAGGAGAAAACAGGAAGAAGAAAAGTGAGAAAATTAATGTGTCAGGATAAAGACAGTTTAATATGTGTGGAAAGAGGAGGAGGGAAACAAACAAACAAGACCTTCAAGTGATGCAAAGGCAATCACACCACCTCCAATGGCAGACTGACACCCAGCCTCTGAGCAATGGCCACCCTGGGAGCCAGCCCCTCTCCTTTCTCTACCCGTTTTTTTAAAATTTTTTTTCCTCAACACAATGTTATATAGTATAGAATATCCCTTTGGTCAATTCGGGTCGGCTGTCCCAGCTGTGTCCTCCCCTAACCACTTGCCCACGCCCAGCCTACTTGCCATTAAAACATAGAAAAGATGGCAGCAAACAGGAACTGATAATTGTGAAATTAAATATGTATCTTCATATATGGTCACATTTTGCATCACGTGACAAGAGCCCAAACATTTGGGGCTCATTTTTATTGTCTGGGATGCCATGCTCCTTCAGGGCTACAATGTGGCTCAGAAATTGAGTCACTGTGTTCTCAAAACATTAGGACTAAGATAAATGAGGAAAACCAGCTTTAAATATTGATAGCACAGTTATGCATTGCTAATATCAGCCTTTATCTCTTAGCTTGACAGGCAGGCTTGTTTCTCTGACTAACGTGGATAGGAACAATAGGGGTTGAGCACTAAATGTCTCTAAAAGCAAACTGGATCCATCAATAGCTTGGGCTTTTTTAATGAGGCTGAGATCTTCCATTTCTGAGCCAGCATCTGTCCTGGGCCCATTTTGTCTTTCCTCTCCTGTTTTTCCTTCCTGCTCCTCTGCTTTCCTGCCTGTGAGCTCAGGATGTCTGCCATCTACTCTGCATTTTGGAATTTGTCACCATCTCACATCCCAAAATTAAGCTCTCTCCATTGACAACCCATCTTAATCCTTGCTCTATCAACTTTCCCTCGTATTCTCCCAGATATGGAGGACAAAGCTTAACACTCTGAGAGGAGAAGAAAAGAATAATACAACTGACAATAGAATAACTTTAATGGAGACTGATACATATGGGCTAAATAGAGTAAAGGACAAGCTTAATTTCTTTTTCTTTTTTCATAAAAAGTAATACATACAGCTAAATCTCCATCATCTGGGGAAAACAACATCTGGGATGACTGAAAGTTAATGGGCATGAGTCACTGCTTCTTTTGGGTACAGTGTGCTGCTTCAGCCCTGTCTCTGTGATGCCCCAGCTCTGCAGGAGGCTTGTTAGCACAGCCTACATGCTGCCTCTAGCAACCAATCCCTGAGCCAGAACTAAGACACTTGTACAGACACAGAAGACTGTTGCAGCTACTGCAAATAAATTACACCAACTCTATGCACAGCCATTTATATCTTGCCTTGAGGGAAGAAGCCTCTTCTGTGCTGGACAAGCACCACGAGGATAATGGAGACATGACCAAGTGTTTCTTTAAATGTGTGCAATTCTATGAGAGTAATAGAGTGATAAGATCAATATCAGTAATTTAACTAATCATTACTCATAAAAAAATGTGTGTGGAAACCATTTTTGTACTAAAAGAACAGCACCAGCGCTCAGTACAAAAAACAGCAGCCTTAAAATTGTGACACTGAGACAGTACTGGTCGCAAGAGGGATGCGGATGCTCAGCAGGAGGGATGTGTGGCGGCGTGGGTGGTCTGGGGGGACGAGGCTGTGGTGGCTGGGGCTGTGTATCCCAGTCTGGGTACCAGTAGGCATAATCTGAAAAACAGTGAAGAAACAGGTGTTAAGATCCATCAAACTTAGCTATACTTATAGGAAAGCAATTAAGAACAATGTGATACGTACCTATCAGCTTCTCACGTTCTGTATTTTCTGTAAAGAGATGAGGAGATAAAATGTGAGTGTCCTTGAGTGGTGGGTCTTAGTGCAAAGAGATAAGCCACTGCTGGTGCCTGGCTGATTGAACTGATGATGCAAGCCAGTGCCTAAAGCATCCTGCAAGGGGGAAGCAGGCCAATGGGAGCAGGTTCCCAGCTAGTGTGGGGCTCATTTTTTTTTATTGAATTGAAAGAGAAGCAGAAAAGAAGCAGTTGTATTAGGAAGAATTTGTGTAATGAGGTGGAGGGAATAGCAAATAAAAACAAAACATGAGATTTATTTAAAATTGATATACAAACCAAATTTAAGTAGTTACAGACAGAAAAATATAACTACTAAATTCATCACAGAGGGATGCCTTTACTAAGAGCTTTGATGCATTTGCAGGATTGGCTCCATGCATCCTATTGGAATTGCTGATTTGCCCTATAGGAGAAGATGGTAAAGTGGGTCGCAAGTTCTAGAACTTTATTTTAAAAATTTCTCTTCCTCCTCTTCCTCCTCCTAATCTTTGAGATGTTCCTAGTTTTCCTGTGATGCATCCATCTGAGACTTCACGATGAGTCAGCCAGGATATCACAGAAGGAAATAAGAGTACCAAATTCTCAGTTATTTCCATAGCTGAAGCTAAGTAGAGCCTGGCTAGTATACACCATCTCCATTAAATATCTGTATAGAATTCGTAACTGATTGCATGCCTTTTAATATCTGTCTACTTAAGACACTATTTCTGACTAGTTTGGAACCAGGTGTAAAGACATAAAGGTCCACAGCTGCAAACTGCTGTGGAAAAACTAGGTCTCACTGCTATATTTCAGAACATTATGGAAGTTAGAAATCAGTGTGCTTCTCAGCATAGTTGTATTATTAATTCAGACCTATAGTTGTGCGGAAAATGTGATAGGACATATTAAACAAGCAAGGAAGCAGAAGTTAAATGTACTATTTCTGCTAGGAAAGAAGAACCATACAGGGAGTATTTGTTAGGGCTAAAGATTTAGATTTGCTTCCTAATCAGATAAAAGGAGGAAAGTAGTCTAACTGATACTTCTTTTCATCAGAAACTCTGTTTTCTACCCTTGAGAGTCTGCAACAGCAAAGTATTTAAATTTATTCTTCTTTATTTATTTATTTATTTATTTTATTTATTTATTTATTTATTATTCTTTATTCCTCTTACCAGGGTTTGGTACTGTTGCTGTGTGTTAGGCTACAGATATACTATGGACTTAGGGCAAATTGACTAATTGTTATATTTCCACTGATAATAATGCCACTTTTATTTCTATGTAATTTTCTTAGCTGATCACTTTGATCTTACCACAGAGCTTGTCTATACACTTCTCATTACTGCATCCACTGCATGGTCGTCCTTCTTTATATGGTTTTCTTGGGTAATTTCCCCTGCAAAGCAGAAGAACAGTATTTCATTAGCTCAGTTGTTTGAAAAGCAATTTAAACACATGGTTTCATCAGATTGTTAGAATAAGTTATCATGAAAAGGCATTGGGGGAGGGGAACGCCTTTACCCAAAACCTGATCACTGCAATTGTTTGAAATTTCTTTTAGATTAGATTAAAGCTCTCATTGTCATGGGGAGCAGCTACCTGGTAACTCTCACCACTTGAAGTTAATGATACTTCTCAGGCAATACTGTCTTACTCCATATAAGAATACAAGAATCTGCCTCTAGTCCCTCATTACCCACCTGTATTTTAAAACCAAATCTGTAAAAGGTAAATCCAGAAATAGTAAGGCATGCAATGAACTAGAGGACTGTCTTCCTTTCATTTCTTCAATTAAAATGTCTTTTTTGAGGTTCAAGTGGGGCCACAGAAAGGTGTACTC